CCCTACTCAGGAAAATGGAGGTAAAGAAGTTGTTAAATAGGTTAGCTTTGTCATCTGGCGTGATGACCAGATTTCCCAGCATGTCTTGCAGGGGCCCCATGTTACCTGGTACCTTCTTTTTACCCTGTATGTATTTAAAAAAGGTTTTCTTGTCCTTGATCTGGGTAGGTAGTCCCAGGTCTATCTCCGACTTGGCCTTCCTGACCACCCCCTGCAGCCCCGAGCAACCACAGAATAGTCCTCCCTGGCGATGGTCCCTCCCTTCCATTGGGTGTGCACCTCCCTTTTAGCTAGGAGACATTCCTGGATGCTTCTGGTGAGCCATGGGGGCTTTTGCACCCTCCTGCCCCCTTTGATCTGTGTTGGGATTACCTCCCTTTGGGCTTGGAGGATCATCTCCTTAAGGAGCGACCACTCTCCTTGGACACCTGACTCCCCTCCCCTCCTCTCTGGGACCTCAGTGCCTCCCCAACTATTCTCCTTAGCTCACTGAAGTCCGCTGTCCTGAAATCTAGGGCTGCTGCCTTGCTGTACCCCTCACCAGGTCGTCGCCCATGGCCAGCACCAGGTCCAACAGGTCGTCTCCCCTGGTGGGGCTGTGCACCTCCTGGGTTAGATGGAGGTCCTGTATTTGGGCTAGGAACCTACGTGAGCGGTCAGACCTGGCTGACTGCTCTTCCCAGCAGATGTCTGGAAATTCAGGTCACCCATGATGACCACATCTTTTGACCTAACTACCTCCGTGAGCTGACTTAAGAATTCCTGGTCGAGCTCTTCCCCTTGGTTGGATGGTCTGTAGTAGACCCCCACTGTTAAGTCCCTTTCCCCTCAACTGCCTTGTATTCTAACCCAGAGCACTTCAGTGTGCCCCTCCTCTGACCCTGTGCTACTTGATGAGGATGTGTATTCCTCCTTAATGTAGAGCGCCACACCCCCACCTTTCCTCCCTGTCCTGTCCCTCCTGTACAGCCTATAGCCCTTGATATTCACTGCCCAGTTGTGCGTTGGGTCCCACCATGTTTCTGTGAGCCCCACTATGTCTGGGTTGGTGTTAGTTAGCAGAAGGGTAAATTCCTCCTGCTTGTTTCCTGTACTACGAGTGCTTGTGTAGAGGCATTTGAGGCCTCCTGAAGATGTGTGCACTGGTCCCCTAATCTCAGCATTACCCTGGCCCCTGTTGCTTACCTGGGTATTTGTTCTGCTCATCGGCCTAGGCTGGGCTGTACTTGTGGATGCTGCTTGGTTTAGTGGTCCAAGGCTTTCTCTGCCCTCATCTTCCCCTTCCCCCGATGAGCCTAGTTTAAAGCCCACCGGAGGAGATCCGCCAACCTAGCGGAGAATACATGGTTACCTTTGGGGGAAAGGTGAAGCCCATCCCACCCGAGTATGTCTCTCGTTGTGATGTGTGGGTCGTCTTGGAAGCTGAAGCCTGCCTCAAGACACCATTCCCGAAGCCGCCAGTTGGTCTCTGTGATGCAGGTCTCGTGTCGTCTTCCACGTCCACCCCTAGTTTTTTAATGAGAATGGGGTGAGAGACAGTGTCCAGAAAGACAATGGAGGCAAAGAAATCGGTAAATAGGTTCGCTTTGCTGCCTGGTGCGATAACCAGATTTCCTAGCACATCCTGCAGAGGCCCCACGTTACCCAGTGCCTTCTTTTTACCCCCTATGTATTTTAAAAAAGGACTTCTTGTTGTCCTTGATCCGGGTTTGCTATCCTAAAAAGCTTACTGTAGAGTTTACCAGGTAATCCAAATGTCTCTACTTGGCTTTCTTGCCCTCATTATTATTTAACATCCTGCCAATCCTTGCGCTATTAGCACTCATTTAATATTTTCTTGCAGGTCACATATTAAAACCTTGATTAGTGTAGGGCCTATAACCAACCCCTAAAGAAGCCCAATACAAACAAGCATATTCAATGATGATTCTCCACAGACAACTACTTTTTGAAAGCTGTCAGTTAGCCAGTTCCATTTAATGGATGCTTCACTTACATTGTGTAGTGCTAGTTTTTTTTAATCACAATCTTGTGTGGTACCATGGGTGTGAACAGACATGCTAAGGATCATACAAGCACAACTGGAGGTGACAAGACAAATGCTACAGAACACTACCATACCACAAGTAGGACCTTCCTGTGTAAAATATAACTCTAGATGAAACAGGGATAACTATGATGCACTTCATGATGCCACCAATGGGAAACGTGGAGTTGGTCAGCTCAGCAGCATCCTTCAATGCTTTGCTTCTTGTTTTCCATGAGGGTCTGCAACTTCTGCCCCAGAGAACTCTGGTAATCATGGCTGAAAGGAACACTGGGATCCCTATTCCCCATACCCATAGCAGCAAAGTGATGCAATAACCCAGGCCTCAGCAAAAATTGAGATGATTTTGGTAGCAGAGGATAGAATATCATACTACTCATAAAGTACACATTAAATGTGCTTCAAATTCTGCTTTCAATGGAAACATTTTTGATGTACATCTGCTCATACTCTATGTCAAATATCTACAACAGTCACCGGATTGTAAGAAAGTAAGGCTGGAAAGGAAATCATGAGGCCATCAGCCCCCCATTCAAAGAAGGACCATCCCTGATAAAATCATCTCAGTCAAGTCTCTATCTAACTTGCTCTTGAAATTTTCCAGGGTTGAAGATTCCACAGGTTTTCTAGGTAGCCTGTTCCAATACTTCACCACACTCATAGTCAGAACATTCCTCCTAAACTTCAGCCTAATTTCCTCTTCTGCAGCTTTAGTCCATTGCTCTGACTTCTATCCCCTATGGCAAGAGAGAAAATATCATCTCTATCCTCTCTACAATCACTGTTCAAGTATTTAAAGATGTTAGAACCCAACTCCATGCAGTGCCTAATGACTAGGGAAATGACGATTCAATTGCCCATGGATCCTGGTACTCATTAGCCAGAGCAGAGCAGGGACCAAACACAGCACACATTGCTCACAACAGCTTTATTCAGAATGGAGACAGCTTCGGGCGAGCTCCCTCACAAACAGAATATGGTGAGCAGACCTGAGCAATAGTTCTTTTCAATATTTATACACCTTGGTTCATACATATTAACATTTACCCTGCCTTGTTCCACCTCCAGTTCCACCCATTTCTCCTCCCATTTCAAGCTTCTCCTCTATTTACTGTTTACTTCATTAACATGGAATTGCTTATGCATTTCCTTCATTTACATGCCTCTCTGCTAAGAGCACATGCATAAGACCATGAACTCAGATATTCTTGGTCACTTGATAGTTTTTCTTTGGTCTTTGATGATTTCAGCACCATCTCCAAGGTTTGGCTTCTGTCTTATCTCCTGATGATAGCTGGTGGGCTGCATCTTGTTCTTCTTATACAATGGGCTCTAACACTACCTTGTTTAGAAAACCACTTACCTAAGCATTTGCAAGGTTAGTCTTAATACATCATTCTGCCTGGTGACCAGCAGCTCTGCTGAGACACAGAAAAAAGCCTTCATTCAGCTGCACACTCAGTGCTCCCCAAAATTCATATTGTTACCCAAACAGAAGGCTGTTATCAAATCCTGCCTCAGTCTTTTCTTTATACTAAATAATCCCAGTCCTTTCTGCCTTTCTTCATAAGTCATGCTCCCTAGGCCCCCAGTAATTTCCTTTGCTGTCAGCTGGACTCTTCCAAATCTGTCCACATCTTTCTTGAAATGGAAGTGCTCCATACTGGACACAGTACTCCTGGTGCTGAATACAGTGGAAGAAGTGCTTTTCTTGATTTGTAAGTGACATTCCTGTTAATGCAAACTAATATGCTGTTGGCTTTTTTGCAACAAGAGCATACTGCTGGCTCATATTCAGCTTGTGGTCTACCGTAAACCCCAGGTCCTTCTCTACAGCAGCCTAGTCAATTGTTCCCCAATCTGTATTTGTGCGCACAGTTTCATGCAAAATCAAAGTATATGACATCAGCATAGTTACTTTTCTCAGCCAAACATATAACTTCCTCAGATAATGAAATCAGTGGGAGGGGGGAAGGGAGTGACTTAGGAGGGTACCGGTATAGCCCGTCTCCCTAGAAGTCCTGCTAGAGCAGATGCATCCCAGCCATAGGAGCTGAGAAGATACAGCTCTGTGCCCCATAGTGTATCTGCAGCCCCCTGCCCCTCCCCTCCAGCTCTCCAGTGGTCAGCATAATCCCTCTCTGCCCCCACACCTTTAACCCGAGCACTGAAAGAGCTCTCTACACCACTGACAAGACATGCTTTCCATAAAACCCTATTGACTGGCATTAATGATATTATGATCCTTTAATTTAGTATTAACTGAATTTCATATGAGCATACCCACTTTTTAGCATAGAATTGTTATCAAACTAACCAACCTATGTTTACCTGAGGTATCCCATTCCTCTACTGAATATCAGAACAATATTGGTGCTCTACCAGTGATTTGGAATTGTCTATGTCTTTCAATTTCTATTCAAAATTATTTTCTCAATCAGATCTTTTTAAATTCTTGGGTGCAAGTTATGTTGGCCTGCTCATATAAAAAGGTATGTTCCTTCTAGATGTTGTTTAATATCTTCCCCATTTACTAATGGACTGGGCAACATGTCATTATCATGTGATACATGCACATCCTTTTCCTTTAAAAATGTAGAGCAGAAATATTGTTGATCACTAGGGACCCACTTAAATTGCAGTTTCGCAATTTTCACAGAAACCACAAAAAACAGCGGTTTCCATGATCACCATGAAAAATAGCATTTCCTGCGATTTTGCACAGAATCACCCGAAAAAGAAAAAAAAAGAGCTTACCAGAATACAAAGAAAATATAGGAATCACTGCAGCCATAGACCAAGTGGTGTGAGACAGAGCAACTGAGAGGCTGAGTTTCATAGATCTCATAGATTTCATAGACATTAGGGCTGGAAGGGACCTCGGAAGATCATCGAGTCCAGCCCCCCGCCCAAAGGGCAGGAAGTCAGCTGGGGTCATAGGATCCCAGCAAGATAAGCATCCAATTTGCTCTTGAAGGCGTTCAATGTAGGTGCTTGAACCACCTCTGATGACAGGCTGTTCCAGACCTTGGGGGCTCGGAGAGTAAAGAAATTCTTCCTTATGTCCAGCCTGAAATGGTCTGGCAGTAGATTATAACTGTTTGACCTCATCATCCCTTGGGGTGCTCTGGTGATGAGTTAGTGATGTAGAAGACTCTCTGAAGGCCAGTCAGGAAAGTGAAAGGGTTTCATCACCATCTTTTAAGAGGACTATACCATTGTTTATAGCTTTTATTCTGAATATATTGGAAAACCTCCTTCTTATGCTCACCACAGATTCTTCCCTGATGTCTTGTGTTTTCCTTATTAATTTTCTGTACTTCATGACTTATCTATTTTTTTTACTATCTTGCTACCTATTAATCATATTTCCATTTGCAGTACATTGCTGTTTTATTACAGTTTTTTTAATTGCTGCCTTCTTTTCACACAGAGCCAGCATGGGTTTTACTCAAAAGATTCCTCTTTCTTGTTTAGAGAATCATGTAATAAAACCTTCTTAAAGAACTTCTCATTTTCATTCACATTCTCTGCCTGATTTTTCTTTCCATTTACTTTCACTCATAATTTCCCTCAGCTATGGGAAATTAGCTCACTTGAAGCTGCAAGTGTTTATGCATGTCTATACAAATAAGAGTTGGAACTGTCCTGGGCAGCTGCCCTTACAGACAGAAGGCAAGTTAGAGATGCACTGTAACTTCTGTTCTCTGCTGTAATTCTGTGATATGTTTATATAAGAGGCCTTGCACTGGAAATGGAGTCATGATCCCAGGTCAGGAAAGGCACTTTGTGCTTTTCCAACACCAATTCCAACTGTAAAGCTTGTCCAATAAAAGATACCACTTTAAAAAAAATAAAAACCCTTGAGCATGGTATTTTTCTGGCCTATTTCCTGAACCATTAAAGCTACAACAACTCTCTGACCCTACTTAAAGTGAAAGAGGAATATCTCTTTTACAGCAATATTGCAAGCCATTTCTACAGGTCCCTCTTCTGAAAGCATAACAGAAAAGCAAAGCAACAAAAGAAAAACAAGTCAAGCAAAGAAAAAGCTATTCATGCAATAGTAGTTTAATATAACTATTTTAAAATTACATTGTAAAAAGGTAAGCATGCATTAACAGTGTGATACATTTAACATAAGATCTCTGAGCATCTCAACACTGAAGCTATTTTACTGGAAATTATCATTTATAATGGAGGGAAATTACCAAAATAATTAATATTAATAACTCAAGTCATGAGGAAGGCAGAAGCAATGAACAGAGGCCACAGTGATTGAAACACAAATTGTGCCTCTATTTGATGTTGTAGCAGCTTAATTAAAAACCGGCAAACTCACACTGGATATTGCATTGACTTAACTAAAAAGATTTAAGAATCATGTCTTTAGTTATACCTATGCAACTCTAGAGATAAGGCCAAAGATAAGTGCTTCTTTAGTGATAAGTGCTTCTTTAGGTAACCTAGTAGATACACAGATCATCAGCACTACTTCTAAGTGTAGTAAGGCTCTACAGCAGGGGCTGTCAACCAGGGGTACACCTGCCCCTAGGGGTACTTAGAAAGGTACACGCAGGAGGTTGGGGATGGAGTGTGCCCCAGGGCGCAGTGGTGGCAGCATCTCCCAGCTGCGTTCCCACACTTTGCCTGTTGCCCAGGGGAGGCATGGCAGGCACTGCTGGCCCCACGCAGAGCATCATAGCGCCTCCCTGCCCCCCACCTCAGGTTGTTTTCCTGATTGGCTGTGGTCCAATAGCCAATGGCAAAGAGGCACCATGGCCACCCCCTTCCTGCAGAGCTGCGAGGGTCTCAGTGACAGAGGGGGTAAGTGTGTTTCTGTACACGCTCCCAGGGCAGCACATGATTGGCCAGGCATGAGGCCCATCAGTAGCCCACAGAGCTACATGTGAGATTGGATGTGGGAAAGCAGGGCACGGTGGTGGTAGCCTGGGGTGGTGGGCAGTGGTGGCGGCACGGGATGGTGGTTGGGTGGCAGTGGCACAGGACAGTGGGTGGTGGTAGCCACTGCATGTGAGCTGACCCCCTCCCCTTGCATCCAGCCAGCCAGAGCCTGTGTGGTCACAGAGGGGTGCCACTGCCCTGGCCCCCCCAGGCCTGCACCTGGGAGTGGGCACAGAAACACACTCTCCCCTCACACACCATTCAGACCCTCTGTGCCTCACTACTGCTCCTTGCTTTGAGTGCAGCGCAACAGCCATGCCAATCCCGTCACTGGGTGGGCAGCAGCCCAGCAGTGAGCTGCCCAGTGGTGGGATGCACATGTTGTCACACTGCTCTTGAAGCAGTGGCAGTGAGGTGCAGAGGCAGACCAGAGCCCAGCCCACTTTCGCCCCATGCACAGATCAGGTGGGCACATGTCTCCCCTTGGCATGCAGTGCATGCAGTGGGAGCCCCCTACCCCCATGCCCCTGGACACACCGCTGGGCTCCCATCATCTCATGGCCCAGCCCGGGCCCTATACACCCCTGTCCCACTCTCTCCTGCACTGTGCAGGATCTGACTCTGCCGGGCCTTTCCCTCTCCCCCACTCCACCCCACCCTTCCCACCACACCTACTTACCTGCTGGGGTGGGGGGGTTGTCTGTATCTGCATGTGTGTATATGTGTCTGTCTGTCCCCTACCCACCAAGTGGCAGCAGGCACATGGCATCATGTGGCTCTTGGGGCAGCGGCAGTGGGGTGCAGAGTCAAGCTTGCAGCAGCAGCTACCTCCACCCTGTGCACAGATAGGGGGGCACATGCCCCCCAGGCCTCCACCACAGTGCACACAGTGGCAGGAGCTGCCCCCCCTCTCCACACCCCCCAGACGAGCCACTCCCGCAGCTCCATCCTGCACTCCACCCTGGCTGTGCAGTGCCTGCCCATGCTTCAGCCCCAGCCCCACTCCCTCCCTCACTGTGGGCGCCTCGATCTGCCCTGCCCCTTAAAAACAAGAAATAAAAATAATTCATAGATTTCATAGACATTAGGGCTAGAAGGGAACTCGGAAGATCATCGCATCCAGCCCCACACCCGAAGGGCAGGAAGTCAGCTGGGGTCATAGGATCCCAGCAAGATAAGCATCCAATTTGCTCTTGAAGGTGTTCAATGTAGGTGCTTGAACCACCTCCAATGACAGGCTATTCCAGATCTTGAGGGCTTGGACAGTAAAGAAATTCTTCCTTATGTCTAGCCTGAAAAGGTCTTGCAGTAGTTTATAACCGTTCGAAAGGGTTACATAAAGGGGTACATGAGCTGAAAGGGGTACACTTGTTAAAAAAGGTTGAAAACCCCTGCTCTACAGCATTAAGGCTAAAATTCATGAAGTAACTTAAACATAAGGTTGCTGATTGCTCTCCTCCTATAGGTTAGGGATCAGGGAGTGCATCTACATGAAACATTTACTGCAGAGCTGCCTAATTAGCTCTCCAGTAACCATCTCCATGTCTACACATGCACCCTATTAGGCCACATGAAACTAATAAACACTGGAGCAGGCTAGTACTTGTAAGTACAAGTAATATACTCCAGAGTGTTTTGTTCCTAGGCACACATTCAAACAGTGCACCCAGGAGCAAGAAACTCCAGATCTATAAGTTCTGGAGTTTATTTGTGTACATTAATATCACATGTAGACATGCCCAGTAGGGTCATGTGAAATTTCACCGTCCGTTTTGTTCCGACACTGTTTCAACCAATTTCGAGGTCAAAACAGCAAAATTGGAACAAAACAAAGGCCATCAAAATAGCCTCGAAACAAAACAAAGCTGGTTGAAATGTTTCAAAATGCTTCTCGGTGCCCCGTGCTAGATCGCCCCAGGGCGGGAGGCAGCCCAGATGGGCTGGCTCCCCATCCCCAGCACAACTCAAAACAGCGTCAAAACAGCCTCTCTGTTTTGATGGAACAGAGCGGAACAGCTGTTTCGACTTGAAATGAAATTTGAGATGAAACACTGTTCCCTTGAACTGTCGAAACACAAGGTGAAACACAATGGTGCTCTTTCGCACAGCCCTAATGCCCAGGATCTGGGAGTGTAAGTCACAAACTCAAAGTCACAAGTTCCTTCTGTTTTACCTGGGAATTCATAATGCTTAGTTCACAGAGCAGAGGGACATCTTGGCCAGCCAATAAAAAATGCTGAACAGGGGGATGCATCTGAAATCCTGCCTCTTTCCAGACTTAGCCACCCATCCTCAGCCCTGAGTTAGATGCCTATGTGACATGGGGATACAGCCTATGTCAGGATTTAGGGGCCTTTGTTACTGCTTCTACAGGCAACTGGATCAGAGTGAATTTCCACAGGAACTTAGAAATATTATAAGTCTCTGTTCCAAATAGAAGGCACCTTGCTTTGACTTTGCTTTCTCTAACATAAATACATAGCAACATGTATATTTTAAAAAAGAGCAACTGCTACAAAAATCTCTATCAAAACAAAACACTTTACTGCATACACTTCTCCCCCAGGGGAGAGGATCAGAGAACAAACAAATGACAGATGTTAGTCATGTTGCTTAATGCAGTAGTATAAGGCACTCAGACCCTATGGTGCTGAGTGTGGTATAAGAACCTATGTAGCACAGAGGACACTAGAGTAATTTAATCTGGCACTGTAAAAGGGATAGATGACTACAGCACGGCCTGTATCATATGCCAAAGTTTCATAGTTTCTAGGGTTGGAAGGGACCTGAGCAGATCGTCTAGTCCGACCCCCTGCCATGGCAGGAAGAGCACTGGGGTCAAACGACCCCAATAAGGTGGTCATCCAACCTCCTCTTAAAAACCCCCAGGGTGGGAGCCTGCACCACCTCACTTGGAAGCTGGTTCCAGACCCTAGCTGCCCTGACCGTGAAGTAGCGCCTCCTGATGTCCAACTTAAACCTTCCCTCCGCCAGCTTGTGACCATTGTTCCTGGTCACTCCTTGCGGCGCTCGGGGGAACAGGGACTCCCCCAGCGCCTGCTGATCCCCCCTAACCAGTTTATAACAGG